GCCCGCGGGCGGGGGGCGCGGAGGCCCGGCCGTGATTTGTCGTCTGGGCGGTGCCTGCCGGTGGCCGCGGGAGATCGGCTTGGCGGCTGAAGGCAGCCCCGGTGTCGGGACACGAGATGATGGGACGTTAACGCCTGAAGTTCGTGCCTGAACCTGGGATCTGGGCAGCTCCGCGGACTTAGAGCCCCATCTCTACCCAGAACCTCCGTTTCCTCACCCTTCAGATGGGGCGACCACCTGACCCCACCTACTTCAATAGGGTGGCTCTGCGAAATAGAGGGATTTCCCAAGGTTCCATCTATCCCGCTGTCACAGCTGGCTGGTGTCTTCAGCAACCCCTGGGCACTGAAGGGGATCGTTGCTTTTCCCACGTGCTCGTTCCCTTATGCTATTCTTCAGAAAGATCTGTGGACTTTGCTTTTCTTGTCGCTAGCGTGAAACTGTTTTGATGATAGTTCTCCAACCTTTTAAAAGTCATTCCTGCTTCCATTCTTCAAAGGCTCACTTACCTGTCCAGGGATCACAAGCCACAGTGTTTGACCATGGCCTGCAAGGTCCAGGCCTTTGCTTCTTGTAGCTCATTTACCCCCTTTCCTTTGCCCACCAGTCTTCCACCAGCCCCGGGCTCTCAGTTCATTCACTTCCTTGGGCTCTCCTATCGCAGGGACTACTCCTTCTGACGACCTAATCACACCACTCACTCACTTCATACCAGGGTGCTTCAAATAAAATCCTGGCAAAATACCCTTAGCTTTTCATTTCCATATCTCCAAAAACTTCCTGGCGCCCTCTCGTATTTACTTTTCCGGCTGTATTCTCTATAGATTTATCGCCATGTGATGTAGTCCAGTTTATTACGGTTTTGTCTGGTGTAGTAGAATTGAAACCCCATGAAGGCAAAGATTTTTGTGGGAGAAGGCCTCTTGCTGACTCCCATATCCCGGCTTCTTAGAAAGTCTGTGGTACATAGTAGAGACTCAATAAATACTTAAGAAATGAATGAATGACAAATTGTAGATTTTGTCAGTGCCAGGAACCTGAGAAAAGACACATGAGCCTTATCCTATAGGGTGAAATTTTGAGTAGTGCTATTAAAGTTTATTTCCATCCTGATTGATGGAAGATAATTTACCATGCAAATGTCTTATTTATTATGCTGATACCTTTGGTATGTAAATCTGAAACCAAACCCACTGACGGGTTTGATTCTGACTGCTAATGACCCTATATAGGGTTTCTGAGGCTGAAATCTTTATGAAAGCAGAGCATACCACGTCATCTTTCTCCCTCAGAGCAGCTGATAGGTTTGAACCACCCACCTTGTGGTTAGCAATTGTTAGCTGACCCAGTAGTACCACACAGCTCTTCCACTATGTAGATAGGTTGTGATATGAAGCAAAAAAAGGGAAGGAGGCAAATGGCGTTCCTTAAGTTGCATAGCCGGGGTCCTGGTGGCGTAGTGATTACTGTATTGGGCTGCAATCTGCAAGGTTGGCAGTTTGAAACCCCCAACAGCACCACCAACTGCTCTTAGGGAGAAAGATGAGACTTTCTTCTCCCTGTAACAGTTAAAGTCTTGGTAACTCCCAGGGGCAGTTCTGCCCTGTCCTATAAGGTCGCTATCAGTCGCCACAACTTGATGGCTGTGAAAGAAGTCTCATAGAAAGTGAGTTTCAGATCTGGTTGAAGATAACAGATGTAGTCATTCAGTGGAGTTAAGTGTTCAGTAGGCCCCTTGACAGCTATGTGAGTATATAAGGCTAACTTATCAAAAGAACCTCCATTGGAAGTTGGACATGATTTTTTCCCCCCTGCTATCCATTAATTTTACCAAAAAATTAAGATACATTGAGTAAGGAATGTTTAAGTTGTTAAATGTGACCAAAGTCTAATTTACTTTTCCCTGAGAAATTACAAATTAGATTCCTTGCTGTGATTGTTCCTTAAGTCTGCCTGCCCTTCCCCCACCCCTCCCCACCTCCATCTTTTTGAAGGCAAAGGTTGTATAGTATTTAAAAATTCCCAATAAGAAGTGCAGGTTATCATGGCATACTGTATGTACGTATAGTATTTAAAAATTCCCAATAAGAAGTGCAGGTTATCATGGCATACTGTATGTACTTAGTGCTAGCAGTTCAGCTCTCGAAACTTGTTTTGGGCAGGAGCAATGAACAGGTTATTCCAATGAAGATATATCTGTATACTTTAAAATATTTAGGTAGATGTGTATGGTTTTACATAATGCCATTTATTTTTTGTGTGCAATAAAACATTAGAAATGATGGAGATGGTTCAGTGCCAATCACAAAGCAATAAAGGATGTGGCCATTAGTGTAAAATCCTGGTATTTTAAAAAAAAAGTGGAATCGTAAAATCTGGTTAGCAAGATTAGGTTCCCAAAGCATTTTGTTCCTTTTCCCTTTTAATCTGTGTTATTAAAAAGATCCCTGGTGGCACTGTCAGATAAGCATTGGACTTGGAATTACAAGGTTGGTGGTTCAAATCCACCAACCACTCCTTGGGAGTAAGATGAGGCTATCTGCTCCTGTAAAGATTTACAACCTTTAAATCTTAAATAGGGTTGCTATGAGTCGGAATTGACTTGATGGCAATGGATAGCTTTTTGAAAATATATTTTATCAGAATGACAGTTTGAGAGCATCTACCAGGATCTCCATACACAGGAGGAGAAAAAAGGATAGTGAGTGAGCCCAAGACTTAGATGTGCAGATTGTAGGAAGCATGTGTTATACATGTTGGTAAATATGGTGATGTGAACAACCAGGCTGAAATATTGAAGGAGAGTAGGGAGAGGGATCGGGAGGACAGGTAGAGATTTTGTAATGGGGAACGCGGCTTGGGAGCCTCTCTGAAAAGTCCACGAGATTTTCTTTCCTTCCTTCTCATAGAATTAAAATTTGATTTTACATGGCACTGTTTTAGTAGCTTTAATGGTTAGAAGGGAGGAGTCTGAGGAGGTTTTTTTTTTTGTTTTTTTTTTTTTAAAGGAGGTTAATATCCTGGAAACAAGCTGTTCTCTCATGAGACAGTTGATATACAGAGATGGTACTGGCTTTCCTAGTTTTTGGTGGAAATAAGGAACTTCCTTGTTTTGTGAGAAGTAGGTACAAAAACAGAATGCTCAGCATATTGTTGGATCATGCCAACCGTACTGAAAGTTTCCTGCGAACCACTTACTAGACTATCTGCAGATACATAGTTATGAGTAATCCCTGATGACTCTGTTGTCAGCCAGCTCTGGCACGTCCAGTCAAATAAACCAGGCCTTTATTAGTTCGGAAGGTGCCCTGGTGGCTTAGTGGGTTACACATTGAGGCGCTAACAAGGTCAGCAGTTTGAAACCACAGCTGCGCCGAGGGAAAATGATGATGCTTTCTGCTCCCGTAAAGATTTGCAGTCTTGGAAGCCCATAAGGGCAGTTCTGTCCTGCCCTGTAAGGTTGCTGTGAGTCCGAATTGACTCAGTGGCAGTGAGTTTATTATTATTGCCTTTTATCAATGTATTCATAAATCTGATCTTTGTTGGTGAATGAGCATCTGGGAATTATAGCAAAAACAAAGTACACATGGTGATATTGTGTGATATACACATGGGGGGCTCCAAAAAGTTTGTGGGAAAATGCCACTGTTTCTGTGTTTCCCCAGACTTTTTGGAGCTTCCTTTGTATTGCTAACAATTCGATGTGTCCACCAAAAGGCAAACTTAAGTATCTGTGTGACAGCTTTAAGTGCAATTTGTTTTAACACTGTGTACATTGTAAGTCCGGGACTGCCTGTAGTTCATTTCTGCGCCCTTCCGTTTTGAGACATAAGATGTAGTTTTCCTTGTTTCACAGGGATCTCTGCAGCTCTGTCCTTGGGGTCCTGATACAACGAAGACAGTAAACGCTAGTGATCATGGAGAATCTAGGAATTGTTTTAGTTCCTTAAGAAATGGCTTGTTTAGGGCTGTAGCTATTAAAACATTTTTTCATAAACAACATTTTTATATTTTGGATTTAAGAATCTTCTCTATAATATTATTGGATTTAAAGAACGCATTTTTGTACATGTAGAGATTTGTATTTTAAAGCCAACTATTTGATACGTCAGAAATCCTGGTGGCAGCATGGGGATTAGGTATTGGGCTGCTAACCACCAGGTTGGCAGTTCAAACCCACCAGCCAACTCCATGGGAGAAAAATAAAACTATTTGCTCCCATAAAGATTGACCGTCTCAGAACCCCTTTATAGGGTTACTCTGAGTGGGAAAAGCCGCCCTGGTAGTGTAGTCGGCTAGCTGTTGGGCTGCATATGTCAGGAGCTCTGGTGGCTCGTGGATTAGGTATTGGGCCACTAACTATACCAGGTTGGCAATTCGAAACCATGAGCTGCTCAGTGGGAGAAATATGAGGTGTTCTACTCGCTAAAGAGTTGCATTCTCAGAAACCCACAGAGAATTGACTCAATGACAGTGAGTTATAGTATGAGTTGCAGCCAACTTCATGACAATTGATTTTTAAAATTGTTTTAAAAATTGAAAGTATTTCATATGTAATATGTGTTTTCCCTTTTTGTCTTTCTAGCCGTGTGGTTTTGCCATGTTCTGTCCAGGAGGTAAGTCTTGCTTCTGCATTGTCTTAATGATACAGTTTCCTTTGATAGGTTCATCCAAATGCGTATTTTCATAGCATTTGTGTACCAAAGCGTCCATCTCCTTTGAATGACATGAACTATGGTGTGTCACAGATAACGAATGGCACATGAATTCCTGTTCCACTGCTATTGTTATGAAGGGCCCCCAAAACATTTGTAGTTCCACCTCCTGTTCAGTTCTGGAATTCTTTATACACAATCCCAGAGAACCTCAACCTAAGTACTTTAGCGTCAAAGGCTTGCTGCCTAGAGAACCAGCCTGTCTTACTGGTGGAATGAACATTTTCTGAGAATGCAGGACACTTGTTTACAGTGCCCCCGAACAATAGGAAGTCAGCTTGTCTGTCCTGCACATGGTAAGGTCAGGGTTTCTGATGGCAGTTCTCTTTCCTCCCCTGAAGCCTCTGATTCTTTCTTCATCACCTGAGGTTACAAGGTTAGACACTGCCAGCCTGTTCACCTGGCCTTAAGACTTCTTTCCAGCCGGTCTCCCTCCTGCATGTGCTGCGGGCTGTGACTCCAAGCTGAAACCAGTATTCTAGACATAGTCTGACTGGTACAAAGAACCCTAGCAGGTTTTTTGGCTTCTTTGAGCCACTAATGATACAGTAATGCTTCACTTATTCAAGCCTGGCCTGTCTGGCTGTCATAGCTATCTCTTGTGCACCCAGGAATGAGAATAGAGGCAGGAAGGGCTTTCAAGAAAGCAAGATAATGTAGCAAGACACCAAAATCCTCTGGACTCTTCCATAATGTGTACATGTCCATACTCTGTGCTTGTGCAGTTATCTGGATTGAAAACATTGAGTTGCAAGTGGACAAAGCAAATGGATAATCTAAAAAGTGATGGCTGACAGAAGACAGAATAAATGTAGGAACTAAAAAACAAGAGCCATAGCTGCCTAGCACTGTTGAGGGCCTGAGATGGTTCTGTGTTGCTTCTGAGATGGTTACCAGACTGGAGGCAAGCCAGGTGCGGGCATCCCTTACTTTGAACAATTGCTTGTTTGAACTTAATTGTGCAAGTTGACATTTGTTTTTGTTCATGGGTTTCTTTTAGTTTCAGCTGGCTAAATTGATCGCTTGAAACATTTCTAGCCCTTAAGTGTGGTCATCCAGAATAATCTTCCGAAATTTCTGTCAGATCCAGATTTCATAAGCGTGCCTCCTGTTTCTATTCCAGTTATTCTAAGCAATGGCCATGAAAAGACAGTGAGTAGCATTCTATCAAAAGTCCGCCCATCCAGATTTTTTAAAATGAGGTTGTCCTTTAGTTTATGCAAATCTCTGTTGCTTTTCTGTTTCTTTTCCCTTTTTTTGCTTTTCTGTTTCTAACCAACATCAAATATACCTTGTGACTTAGACACATAAAGTATATTTTAAAGGACTTCAGGATGGTAGCATTACTGGACCAACCCTGGGCATCACAGCATTTTAAGAAAAAAGCCAGTTCCTTGTGCAATCCAGAATTTCCTACAGGAGCTTCTCTCTGGCTCATTTCAGAAATGGGTTTGGTTCCATTTGTATGTATGTTTAAACTTAAAGAGGGCATCATACTTGTATAGATATAAATAATTATAATTGTATAATTATAATTGTTTACCTTACAATATCCCTAGTTTTTGTCCCTCAAATGTTGGCTCTGAATACGTAGATTTTTGCAGCTTTTCTTGAAAAAAAATGTGCCCCTAAAGAACAATAACACTTGCTGGGCTCTCTTCATTGGGGGGAAGAAATTGAGCCACCACTACAAAATTGGAGCTGGTGTCATGGCAGGCCACTGGAGCATGGCTTTATCTTGGGTTTTTTTGGTCATCTGTGGGACTCTTTGTGATTGCAGATTGGTGTAGGACAAGTCGACAAGTATTGTTGGAGACCACTGAGAAATCTGACTCATTTTAAAATGAACTAAAAGCTACTATCAGTGGTTCCTTACCTTACATGGTAATGCCTGTGTATTTATCATACTTTTAAAACAGTTTCTGTCATTGGGGTGCTTTCCCCATAAACAAGCATTCTCTGGGATCCCAGCACTACTTTTGGTGATGAGATTGGCTCAAGGACCAAATTGGGCATGAAAAGAAGGATCTCATTGGTCTAACGAAATCTGGTTTTCAGTCATTTGTCATTCTACTTGCTTTTTCTCATTGTTGTTACTAGGAGCTGTATTCTGGTTGTTCTCTTGTTTGTGTGACCAGGGAAAGCAGAATAGTCCCTAGAAGCCTGAGCTTGCTTATCTGGCAAAGGGCCAGTGAAAATGCCTGCCGTCACTTTAGAGTGCTGAGCAAAGTAAATGAGATGTAGGAGATGTGGACTTGGTTTGGCAAATACAAATGTATGTTTACTGTCCAAGGAGGTGAAGCAAGTGAGAAGACATTTGTAACCTGCACATCTCTTGAATAATAGAAGTTCCGTAAAACATTCCAGCATTTTCTATAGCTGTATGAACATTCTCCTTAGCGTTAATTTATCATTGTCGTTAAATAGTACTGCTGTGGATTAGGTGTCAGACTTGTAAATTTGTAAGGTGGGTGCTTCAAACTTACCAGCCACTCTGAGAGGGAGATGTGGCTGTCTGTTCCCATAAAGATTTACAATCTTGGAAATACTGTACAGGGTTGCTATAGAGTCAGAATTGACTCAGTGGCCATGAGTTTGGGGTGGGTGGGGCCTGTTGAATGGTTTGGGTCAGCATTTCTATCTTCTGTATTGTGTTATAACTTCCTGCAGTTACTACTGACAACTGAAATGCATGCTGTCCTATTTGAAATTTCAGTATCAAGTTGGGCAGCTTTACTCTGTCGCAGAAGCTAGTAAGAATGAAACTGGCGGTGGAGAAGGGATTGAAGTTTTGAAGAATGAACCTTATGAGAAGGATGGAGAAAAAGGACAGTATACACACAAAATTTATCACCTAAAGAGGTAAACAAGGGGTGGGGTAGGGGTGGGGTGGGGGAGTGTTCAATTGGATACTTAAAGCTGTAACAACCCACCTTAATTCTTAAACATGTTACTACTTACTGATAATACAAGCTGAGACACATTATCTTCCTATGTGTGATACTGTGTTGCAGTTTAATTTTTTTGAGAGAGCTCTCCTTTTATTAGTTACATTTAAATGATAAAGGTAATAGACCTAATTCAAACAGCATAGACGGTTGTAAAACAAAATCTTCATTCTCATCTCTTGCCATCGTAACTCAGAAAGCGATACCAATACAAATTGAGGATAATCTGCAGAGCATGGTGAAGGTTCTACAGCGGGCTTGGTTTTTGTGCAGTGACTTAGGAACATTTCCTTGCCATTGTTTTATGTCTGGAGCGTTCTTCTTACAGCCAGTTTAGAATTTCTGCGTATAGACATAGCATAGTTTTAAAAATCATCTTCTAAGTGATAACTTGATTTTGGTTTTCTGCACTCTCTGTTTAATATTTTCATCAACATGGTTGCACATAAAAGGATGCTTAACATGTTGGTGGATGAAACACTCATTATCTTTCCTTTTCATTTTCCACACACTTTGTGAGGCCCCTTCTGTATATCTTTATGCCTTTAGCCTCTGTTTTCTCAGAACAATTTATGAAAGGAGATTTGTTGGGAAGACACATTCCTTAAAAATACTGACATCACTGCTAAAGTGCTCCCCAGTGGTTTGTAAGAGTTCATTTTCCCGTATTTTTTTCAGTTTTTTGTCAATTTGATAAATAGAAGAGTCTCTTGTCTAAATTTACCTTGTGAGGTTGACTGTGTTTTCATATTAAGTAACCATTTGAATTTCTGTTCACTCCTTTATTCATTGTTTATCTTTTTTCTCACGTTGGTTTGTAGAGATTCTTTTGCACATTCCCCTAGAGTTAGGCAATCTAATCTCTTTGATATAAATATTTTAAAATTTAAATGCATGCCAGCATTTCACTATGGGCAAAAGACTAGTAGTGACTTTTAAGAGTCAGCAGTAGTCTCCTTGGCTTATTAAATGTGGAAGGGATTCTCTTTGCTCTTCTCTTCACCTTTCGTCTTTGTGTAATTGGAATGAATGATACCCATGTTCTGTAGAGCTAGAGCTTTGATGGTCAGTGATTTATTATTTTTTGAAAAATATTTTCTGAGTGTAATTGTCACTTTATAGAATCGATTTTAATCATTATTTTTCAAACCGTATTTTTGACTTCTAAGTTTGAATGGAAAATAGCAGAGGCAATCACCATGGTCTGTTAGTTATTCTTGTTGCTCTTGTGGGCTGGGTGGGCAGTTCTGGACTGTGGTCTTCATGGAGTCGGATTAGCAGTTCTTTCCTGCGACTGGTGGACTCAGAGGGCCAACTTCTCAGCCAAGCACTTAACCATTGTGTTACCAGGACTCCGTCGAGACGGTTTTCTAAGTTGTGACACTTAATTTGTTCGCACCCTAAGTATATCTTTAAAATGTGTCAATTGAGAGAACACTCGGCATTCTAGATGGTATATTCTGTATAATATTGGTAGTAGTGAATTTTACTTATGTACCCTGAGCTTTCCCTAGCATTTTGTATTTACTTATTAATTGAATCCTACCAACACAAAGTTCTTTTCTAAAATATTCAACTCTTTCTGGAGATTCTAAAATAAATCAACAGGTTTTATATATAAAAACTTAATTACATAGAGCATTATCCATATAATGTGAATCAACATGAAATACATTCAATTGGAAATTAAGGGACTATTAGAAATATTTAGCATTTTCCTCAATGGAATCCCAGTGGCTCAATATGTATACTGTAATCCTAATTACATTTAAAAACCCAAAATCACCTAGGAAGGAGTTAATTAAAACATGAAGCCAACTTCTCAATTGGTGGTCAAATTGTGGGTGATTATTACAGTATTTTTCCCTTATGTCTTTTTTTTAAAAAGACAGCATGGATATGTTTTATTAAGAAAAAGATAAATATTGTTTTTGAAACATCTGATTTAGGTACACTGCAGCTATAAACACGGAATCTCTTAAGTTGAAGCATGCTATATAAATATGGTTAGTGCAAGAGATATTTTTATTCTGGGGAGCTTATTTGGGGATGAGGTTCGGAATTTCTCCCAGGCTTTTAGTGGATTAGAGAAAGGGAAATCTGGCTCCCTGGAGGCCATGCTTCCAGGGTACTCAGGCTTCTGGGAAAGCTTTATTCCTAGAAGGAGCCGAATCACTCCACACTTCCTCTTGGTTTTACCTGCTTGTGCTTGTACCCTTTATTCCTCATTGCAGCCCCGAGAATAGGTAATGTGCCTATAATACTTTTCGGACACTTTATTTTCCCAAGTTATGCTTTCTCTCGTCTCCTCCCTCCTTCCCTTTAAATGGCAGCATGATGATTGAGGGCTCTCTTCTCTGGCTCCTAGTCTCCCTCTCCGTCTTCTCTTTTGGTCACCAGTAGGCTGTTCCAGGTGCCCAGCCTCGAAAGCATCCAGAGCCTGAGGAGCATGGGGCTCCAGAAGGCTGGTGGGTGGGCTTCTGACTGGTTGTTGAGGGTTACATGATGCCTGTAGATGACTTGTCCTCTCACTGAATGGTGAGATCTGTAGGTGGAAGCCCGCACAGGCAGCAGAACAAAAGAGCAGAAGTGTGGAGATCAGGTAACATGGCAGAGCCACAGTAATAGCCAACCAGACATCTGTCCGTGGTAACGACGAACCCAAGACAAACTTTCCCTGTAACTGGGGCAAGAGCAATCAGAACTCCACACTGGGCCATCAGGGCACAGGAAGGCACAGCAGGCAGCACTGTGGAAGCACAGAGAACATGTAGCCTAGGGAGTGCTGAGAACATCACTGTACCATAGGAAAGATACCTCATCAAGACTCAGTTGAGTTGTCCTTACAGATTTTAGACTTCCGGGATGTCAGGAGTTAAACATTGGCTACTAATTTTAAGGTCAGAGGTCAAACACCAGCTGTTCCATGGAGAAAGATGAGACTGCTCCTTTGAAGATTGAACAATCTCAGAAACCCTAAGCAACAGTTCTACTCTGTGTCCTGTAGGGTCGATACAAGTCAGAATTGATTCGATCGCAGTGGTTTTGAGTTCTCCTTGAGAGGTTCCATTTGTGTCCAGAGCTATTTGTACCCTCTCCCAGCATCTAGTTGAGGAGCCCTGGTGGTGTAGTGGGTTAAGTATTGGGGTGCTAACCACAAGATCAGCATTTGAACCTAGCAGCTACTCTATGGGAGAAAGATAAGGCAGCCTGTTCATGCGAAGATGGGCAGCTTTGGAAGCCATATAGAGCAGTTTCGTCCTATTGGGTCACCTTGAGTTGGAATTGGTTCCGAGGCAGGGGTTTAGTTGTGCCTTTGATGGTATAGTCAAAAGCCCTTGCTGGTGGCTCTGTGGTTAAAGTGCTCAGCTTCCAACTGAAATGTGGGCAGTTTGAGCCCACCAGCAACTCCATGGGAGAAAGATGTGGTAGCTGGTGTCTGGAAAGAGTTACAGCCTTGTGAACCCACTGAGACTGTTGGCCTCTATCCTGTAGGTTCCCTGTGAGTAGAATTCACTTGGCAGCACTAGGTGTGGTTTTGGTTTCCAGTTTTTAATCGTAGGTTAGCTTCAATAGAGTTGCAAACTTGGCTAAAGCCTTCAACACCTTGTTGTAGGTTCGAGAGAGTTGGAATTCTGAGGACCACTAGGCCCAGGATAACCAAGGTCTTTGGATTTTTTTGGCTAGTATGCGTTCCCATTTTAGCAAAGTACTTCTTTGTGGGATGTGTGTATACTTAATAACCTGGAGCCCGGAGAAATGATCTTGCCAAAGTATTAAAAAAAAAAAATCCCAAGATTGGTCATCTTCCCAAGGTACATTCTAATGTCTGCTCTTTTGGAATAGTGAGTCTCTTTGTGTCTGATGATAACTGACAGTGAGTGTTCCTCCATGTGTACCCCACCCACTGCCATTGAGTTGATTTTGACTCACATGGCTTCCGAGGCCATAAATCTGTACTGGACCAGGTAGCTTTATCTTTCTCCCTCAGAGTGGCTGATGGATTTGAATCACTGGTGTTGAGTTTAGCAGTCCAGTGGTAACTAGTATTTAACTGTGTTCTCAGCAGGTGCCAGTTCGCTTAAGGTGGGACCTCAGGCGTTTCCTGCAGCAGCCTCTGATACTGAGGAAGCTGAGGCCTACCGGGGCTGAGGGGACTGCTGCTTGGTAGCAGAGGTGGGGCATGAACGCTGGCCGTTGCTCCGTGGGAGAAAGATGAGGCAGTCGGCTTCCGTAATGGTGACTGCTTTGGAAATGCTATTGGGGCTGTTCTTTGTTCTATAGGGTCACTACAGTGAGGAGTCAATTTGATGTTACTTTGTTAAGCTTAACTTCATTTTTAGAAGGCTTGAGGCTGACAAAGACTGATGAGAAAATGCGGTATGGTTATAGAAGAATTTCTCTGTAAACTTCTTTGGAGTTCACTTCAGGAAATGGAAACTATTTTAACTCTCCCATAGGTCTCAGTGGTAAGAGTAAAGCGATTAAGATGGCAGGCTCTGGAGTCAGAATGCCTGCCAGCGTTCATGTCACTTCTCTGCTACCCGGTAGCTTTTTAGCTGCATGGTGCTTAACTTCTGCACCACACCAGTCTCACAAGAACTCGGGTATCCCGAATGGCTCCCTCTCTGCCCAGCATGAAGACTGTTCTGAGCAAGCCTGTTCCCACATTGTCTTCCAGCAGTGACCTGTTCAGTCTGTTTTAGGCTCCTTTTCTGTCAGGTCTCTGCTTCTCTACTCAGGTCCCAAGCCTCTCTCAGACCTGTCCTCCACAGAGTTTTGCATTCCTGGGCTATTTTTGTTTATATATTCATCTCTCTTCCCTAAACTCCATCAGTTCTTGTCACCTCTTCTTAATTTGACACCTAATTACATGTTCCCATTTTTCCTTGTATTCAATTTTCAACAACAGTT